AAAAAAACGATCAAAACCAATAAAGAAGGAAGGCAACCAACGAAAAATATTGCGCCATATCGATTGGCGGGGGGCGGGTGAGTACGGTAATTGCAGTAACGTTTGCCGCATGCCGCAAGGAAGAATGCCGTAATCGGGGAAAAGTTCCATTACCCGGGAATCTCAGAGACCATTTCTATCGTGAACTGTGCCCTCAACTCTGGTGAATAAGATAGAGACCCTATATGTGCCACGCTGGGGAAAAATCAAGAAAAAATAATGACGACAATATTATTTGAAAAAACTACTGCCGAAAAAATTATTCTAATTTGTTCCAAGAACGGACAGCAATTTTGGATGAACTCTAGATTTTTTAGGGATACCGATATTCGAGGGGGTTGTGGTGTAGTGGTAAGTGCCGCACTAGCACACACACATGGTCCGGGAGTCTCGTATCGTTAATCGTCCAGACCAGCAAGGCTTCCCCTCTTTCCGGGCCTGTCATTTGGTGGGCAGAGCTGTCTAGAGAGGTAAAAGTCCGGACATGTACGCCGGCTGGCTACACAATACTATTTGTCATTCTATTCAAGACAGCATGAATGAATGGAGATTGACTGCGGAGACGAATCCCAAAACGAAACTGATTGACCCCAGACCCCAGAGATTTAGCCATTGTCTACATAAATAGTTAAGATAAAGAATAAAATTAAACTAAATAAAAAAATAAACACTCACAGGCACATTATAGTTTTATTTCACTTTGATATTTATACAAAACATTAAGCATTTTGTTATATTCTCTATATTCTAGCAGAAGATCGAACAACTTATAACAAATAAAACAAAACAACGAAAAGAAAATCGGATGTTAAGTAGTAGATGCTTGGTAGTATATGGCAACAGAAGATGACAGATGACTGGTACAATATTTACACTGTACAACAGTAATCAACACACAAATATTGTACAAGACATATTCGATTTGAGGAATATCAGGTTTAGAAGTCGCCGCCAAAATCGCCTCCGCCAAAATCGCCTCCACCAAAGTCACCACCACCAAAGTCGCCGCCTCCGAAATCACCACCACCATAATCGTCCCCTCCATAGTCGTAGCCTGAAACAGTATCGAAGTAAAAAGGAGACAGAAAATTACGTATTCGCTGGCAGGCTGCCAATTAGGGTCGGAAAAGTAGTTTATTCTAGCCCAAAGATGATAATCTTATTCTATACCCAATTTGTTTCGAAGCAAAAGTTTTACTGCTTAGTGAACCACTGTGAGTCAACTGACTTGGTCTACAAAAGGCCGCCTACCCCAAGAATCTAGCGGAATCTCAAAGAAAATAGCCGTGTTCAGGGAGTCACAGAAGAGATATGAAGGGATTACCTGTGTCACCGCCATAGCCGTAGTCGTCTGCATTGGTGTAGTCCTGATTGGTGTCGTGCTGAAAACGTAGAGTTGAAATTCTTTCATGAGCAGGTTATTCAAGTGATTAGCAAATACAAGCAAATATATTCTTATTATATCTGTAAAGGTAAACTGGTCCGTGCCCATATTTTGGATTTACATGTGTCAAACAGCTTTCAGGAGATTTCCAAAAAATTTGCTTCATTGGCTTCAATGTATGAAGCTTTCCACAATTCTTCAACAGTGCCGGCTCATCCTTATGCCAACGTCATGGGCCAAGGTAGGAGTTCAATACAATGTAGGTGGTTTTTACTAAACCCAGGAGTAGTTCACTCTTTGATAAAGCGCGATAGAAGCCCAGAAATCACCGAGGATCGCGAAGAAGTAGTTAATCTAGTGATCGTTATGGTCTAAAGGAGGAACCCACGCTTGAAATACTGAAAGAGACGTGGATTCTCTTTTGCTCCAACGACCAAAAGGAAACCTACTTCTACTTCATTTGCTACCTCTACTCGTCAACTTTGTCATCCACTTGGGACATTTACCCATTCTCATAGCAAGTAACATACGACCAATGTTCTGCGATCATGAAAAAGTAACCCTCAAAAACTCCTAACAACTGGTCGACAGGCTCAGCGCTTTCATTCCTCATGGCCCGAGTTCGTATCAATTTATAGCGCCCGATCGGTTGCGGGGAGCGCGACCCCATTCTAGGTAGAAGATAACACGCCTTCCTCATGCTATGGAATGTGGGCAACCCTACTGCAATTATCCGAAGGCTGCAGCTAATAAGACTCATCATCGGTTCCGGACAATAGAAAACGAAGTACGGCCTTTCTAAGTATTCTATCATATATTTTACTCCTAACTTTTAATTTGAATCTAAAAAGCCACACACATGCATTCATTGGCCTGTCCATATAGACATTGCGTTCAGCAACATATGATAGCTTCCGAATCGGGAGACGAAAGTCAAGTTTTTGCCATCATCATAATCACTCCAGATCAACCGCAAATCAAATCGGCTTACAAATTATTTAGAATGCTTCAACTTCAACCCCTTTTTGGTTCAAATCTCTTTTCATTAAGAACCCAGAGAAAACTGAAACCTGGAGAAACGTCCAAGGTTAGAAAAGGTGTGAAGGAAAAAAGCAAGTGTCCAAGGCGTGGGCAGGTGAAGAGTTAGGAATGGCAAACGGGGTAATGAGCGGAGGCACTGTTTCACTGCAAACCGCCTACAGCATGCACAAAAGCAATCCACACCACGACAGCAGTCATAGCATACTGCTAGCCTCACCTGGTCCATGTCGCCATTGTCTACGACATCATCGTCTGCCGCATAATCATTGTCGGGCACGTCATCCTAATCAGATAGATAACAGTTGGGATAAATTTAAGTTATAGTTGTGATAAGGCTGGTTGAAGGTCCTCAAGAAGTTGATGAACACACTTTGCTGGGCTGACCTTCGGACAGGTAGCTCTCTCCAGTGCTCGAAAGGGTAGATAGTCCTTTTAGGTTCTGAGAGCGAGGAGATCCTGCCCGAAACATCAGGCCAATCAAGTTGCCCAACAACATCGCACAGGAATGAAGTCGTTTCCATCACACTAGTTCCGAGCTGGGGTTTATAAAAAGCAAGATGGCAGCTATAGAAATTTGACAGGAAGACAAGTTCTAGCCACTACCCTGTCCTCCTGAAAGCTTTGTAAACGCTCCTACTGAATTCACCTGATCAACGCCGGCGTCTTCTACGGCATCGTCTTGGGCTGGGTGGTCATTATCCTCCACGTCATCCTAATGACAGTGTTAAAAGTTGGGAAAGTTATCTTTGACAGTAAAAGAAGGAGTGCTTGGTCTAGGTGATAGGTGCTAGGTGATTTTACCTGATTAGCATCTGCAACATCTACGGAGTCATCACGAGGCGGATCGGAATCGACCACGTCATCCTAATCATATAGTCATGAAACTTATTTGTTACTATTATGGAGTAGGAAGAATTCTTCAATTTAGTCATCACTCTTCCTGACGCTTCCAACAATAAGTCCGTCCCATAGGTGCCTGCTTTGGACTCCTCCAACCAAATGTCGCTTACCATTTCGTCTGCACCGTTACGAGTAAACCTAGTGGTGGTCCGACCAGCGACCGGGGTGCGGCGACTGTTGGCTAGTTATCACGCCGCACAGCGTGTTTTAGCTGTTTCGCTTGTATAGCTGTCGATACATGTTCCTGACCCTCTCCCGTCACCGCCTTTCCCAAGCCTGCCTCTCTGTTAGATCAATAAAAAGTTCCCAACGGAGGTATCAGAGACGGCGCAGGAGAGCAGGCGCAAATATGATAGCAGAAGAAACTAGTCTGCTTCAGGGGGTGTGGAGAAACTGAACTAGTTGCTTAGCTCCTCCCATGTCTCAAATTTGGTCGGTTGTCTTAGTCTGAACACTACAAAAGTCCTGAGCTCGTCAACTTTATATCGCTTGCTTCACACTGGGATAAGATGAACGGGAAGCGCGTTGATTGACTGAAGTACATCAGGTTTACCTGATCGGTGACATCCTGAATCGCCGGTTGTGAATCATTGGCATCAACCGCGGTTCCGGCTGCGTTCGGATCCGGATAGTTGTAATAGTTGTTCGTGATGGTGGTGTCATTATCCTAGAAAGAACGGAAAATAATTTTCCTGATGGATTGCGCCCAATAAAAAATGAGTTTTTGGGAGGTTTCCAAATTGGAAAGTAATCTGGGGTTCCTCGAAGAGTTGAAGTATGACGTATTCATTTGGTTGTGAAGCAAGTTCTTTTTCAAATTGATTGCACTTACCGAATAGTAGCCACCACCCATTCCGAAACCGCCTCCGTAGCTTGGTATCATCGAGTGACCACCCCACATTGAACCCATGCCATAGCTGAGCAGCGATCCCATCAGCATACCGCTACCAAAGCCGAGAGCTGCTCCTCCGAGTCCTGCACCAAGACCACTACCTCCGTAGCCACC